ACTGAACAAGCCAGTACCTGCCGCATACGAGTACTGCCATCTGTTGAGGAGTTATGAAATGCCAAAGGTGGAGGCATTACTTTTCATTCAACCCTCGTAGCACTATGAGGTAGATTAACTACTTTTGTTTTTATTTGATTTTATGTTCCAAAATTGTAGTTTGCATTTATATCACTCAGTTTGCAAAAGACACAAAATTGTGTTATGATCATGTAGAATGATTTTCTGTGCGCTGTGTAAATGCCACCTTTCTTGTAAGTCACTCAGTAACACATGTTAAGTAATAATAAATCATGGCAAATGCAAAGTCTTGTAGTAGTTATAATGGGGAGGGGGGTGTTGTGTTGTAAAGTAGTACTAGCATGATTTGTACAAGCTAAAAGTGCCAGCTTTCTTAATAACCTACTTCTCGCTTATCCTTTGATGACAGCCATGTAGACTAGCTAGTGAGAGGGGTTTTCTTCTTGTTGTCATTGAGAATAAGTATGGAATCACAGGGTTATTTAGCTTGTAACCATAATTCTGCTCCTTCTGTTCCATAGTTTGGGTTTGTCCTGCTGTTTAGCCCCAGTGTAGCTTCAGTCCTGCTATTATAAATGTCAGTGTTGTTGTTTCACCCGATCTTCAGCTGAGTCCAGAAAGCCTTGCTGCTCCCCACGGATGTAATGAAGAGTTTGAATTACTCTCGCACAATTCAACAGGCACAATATTATGGGCAGCATTTCTTTTAATTTTGGAGAAACTAAACATTATTTTAGCCATCACCAGACTGAAATAATGGGCTTGTCCATTGTTCTGCCGTGCGCTGTAAATAATTGTCTTTAGAACAGGACGTGCAACCTTTGCCCAGCGGGAAGCCAGGGGGCCCAAGGAGAAGTTCTCAGAGGTTTTCCACCACAAATGATCTTTAGATGGCTTGTGAAGTATAACAAAGTCTTTTATTAATGAACAATCAAACAGAAACTTCTCTTGTCTTCAATAAAGTTAAACAACTGATTCCAGGCTTTTATGCAACTGGTGGCTTTCTAAACTTGCCCACGAAGGACAGGCAACTGTCTTCAATAACTTCTTCTTTACTTTAAAGGAAAATCCCCTTTTTAACTTCTCCCAGGCTGACTGTAATCTAACCCTTACTGATGTGGGCTCGCTACCGGTCGAACTGCATCTCGAAGCACCGAGTGGACCTACCAGTAAAGGTTTAGATATTCTCCAGCTGGAGTTCTTTGGTCTTTAGGGCTGTTTTCCTGGAAATCTTTGGAGACTCTTAAGACTGTTTTCCCCCTGAAAGTCTTAAGGGTTGAAGCTTTTGTACAGGGGAAGCTTGCACACATCCTGTACATTAGCTTTCCTTGCTGAGACTGACTAAAAATGGCTCCCTTCCCTTCCCAATTGCCCTGAGCAAGGGGCGGAACCAAAACTTAACGATGATGGACAGGTGACTTGCCCTATGACTGCAACCAAAGGAAGCCACCTATCTGCAGAGTCCCTGAAACCTTGGACTGTAAGCAAACATTTAATACAAAGCAAATAAAGTTGGAGCTCCTGGTACAGCCGTACCAGAACATCCATAGTTTTTCATAGTTTTTAGCTCTTTCACTTACATTTTAATTGCTGCATAAGCTTTTGGAGACTGGAGTCCATTTCTTCAAATGTCTGATAAAATGGTATGCCAGATTAAATGTGGTAGCCCTTAAAATGGCGTTCGATTAGTACAGTTAATCTAGTCAAATGTATTTATTAGTTTATATAGATTTTGTCTAATAGTAAGAGTTTGATAGTTTTGGTCAACATTTGAAAGATTAAGCACAGATAAGTAGTTATTTTTAAACTTTTTGTTTTCCTCAGTAACTAAGTTGCATTAAGATTTTAACTTGATGAATGATGATTTTACTTCTTTTGCAGTATCACTGTAACAGTTTTTTGGCTTCATAAAGGCTGAGGTGGGGGAGAACATAGAAACATTAAACCAATCAGTATGTCAAGATAAAATCTCAAGAACATCCCTGTTGAATTTAATATGAAAAATAGATTTGCACTATTTGGCCTAATTAACAGGGAATCAAAAGAATTCCAGGCTGAAGTCAGGGACATTCAAAACAACACTATCTGCAGTCCAAAAGAAAAAAAAGATGACAGATAAAATTGATGATAGATAAAACTCATCAAGCGCTTAAGGACAGATGAGAAGCAAAAATAAAAGTAACAGAAATAATTCATAGTCTGAATGCCATTGCTCAGCAGCTTGTGTGCAGAGACAAGGGCAGCTACTATACTAGTCACTGCAAAGAAGTAGAAGATGGCAACAATACAGAAAAACAAAACTAGAGTCCTCTTCCACAAAATCCAAGAAATCAAAGGGAAATTTAAAGCAAAATTGTAAATACTTTATGTCAAGTAGAGCAGCAGATTATATGAACAAGTAGAAAGGAAAAGGACAATGGAAATAATACACAGAACAAGCATATTAAAAGAAACGAAAGGATAATGGATTCAATCAAGGAAGAACTATTTGAAGATGAACCTATGATTTTAGAAAATGAAGTGGAAGCGGGAATTAAGTGGCATACCAATAAACCACTTTAAGCTACAGAGGCAGAATCGACTCTAGTTCTAACTAAAATCTGTCAGAAATATGGAAAATGAAACAATGACCCATAGATTGAAAATGCTCAGTATACATTCCAACTTTCATACAAAGGGGCATCAAGGATTTCAGTAACCACAGAACCATTGCATTAATTCTTCATGCAAGCAAAGTGGTGCTCAAAGTTCTAGGTCAAAGACCTTTACTATAAACAAAGCAGGAAATTCCAGATGTACAAGCTTGGTTCGGGGAAGGCACTGAAAATCATATTTCAAATATACATTGGATAATGGAGCATACTAAAGAATTTCAAAAGCAGTATAGCAAAGTATTTTATTTTGAATATTATGAAAAATCTTGAATCACTTTTAAAGAATTGGGTGTGCTACAGCATTTGATTGCCCTGGTGTGTAACCTTCACTTAGGAGAAGAGGCTACTAAGGACAGAATCTGGAGAAATGGAATGGTTTCCAATTGACACGGGAGTCAGGCAAGGCTACATTTTATCACCCTGTTTAACCTGTGCACTGAACATATCATATATAAAACTGGATTCGATCTAGAGGAAGGATGTGGGAAAATCAGAGGAGAGAACATCAACAATTTAAGATTTGCAGATGACACCATATTACTAGCAGAAAATAGCAGAGACAGAATGGTTACTCAAGAAACTCAAGGAAGAAAGTGAAAAGGCCGGTTTACAGTTAACATTAAAAAAAATAATGTCCACAGATGATGTATATAACTTTAAAGTAGACGGTTGAAGACACTGAAATAGGTGACGATTTTGTATATCTTGGCTCAGTTATTAATCAACAATTTAAGAGGACTAGATATTGAATTTAATAAAGTCAGTTTAGATTTATTTGACTAGCCAATATTATTCCTATAGCCCCATGAGTGGACATGCTCCAAGGATCATGCCATCATATTTTTGACTCCTTCAAAAATCTGCAGTGCATCATCACAACTTGGGACGCGCTGATGTATCATGTCTAGTTGTTTTACAATCTATTGGGGGGTATATCTGGGTGGCAAGCTTCTCCCTGACACTATTCTACAGCATTACAAAAAGGATTGAAATACTGATATTTATGTTTTCAGACCCCTTTTTTTCTGGCCAGGATTGGGGGGCAGGCTTTCCAGAGCTCGTGGGGCTCACAAATGTCATACTGGAAAGTTTGGCATGCCTAAAAGGAGAGAATTAATAAAATGTCTATGTGAATTCTTCACATTTTTTGGCTTCCTCACTTCACTCTATCCTTTTTTCTGCCCCTATCTCTAAGCACATGATCAGAATTAGAGTAGTGTACTTCAGTCCCCCAAGATACTAACTTGACTCTTACTTAAATGTCAAGGAAGAAAACTGGAAAGAGCAACATGAAAAGGTGGCTACACAATCATGATTTTAGCACCTCACCCGATGTAAGATTGAGGCCATAGAGCTCTAGTCATGGCTCCATTGTGAGTCACTGCAGACACTCAAACAAAAATTCCACTCTGGAGAAGGCCTCTCATGAGAGGAATTTGTAATGTCCATCTCTGTAAGTGGTCACTCTTTTACACAACCCCTGAACTAGCCTGTGCCCTTCACTGGTGGCAATCTCTTAGTATGAAGGGTTGTCTCACTTCCAACTCTGGAGTAATGAACCCAACTCTTGTAGGCAATATGGGTGTGTATCCCCAAGGGTTCTACACTTCTGTGTTCTTGCCCCAGAACATTCTTAGTCACTTTTCAAGATTCCTCTAGTGCAGTAGCTCTCAATCGTTGGTCCTCCAGGAGTTTTGGATTTCATTTTCCCAGAAATCCCAGCCATCTTATCAGCTGTTAGGTATGGTGGGAGCTGAAGTTGAAAACACCTGGAAGATCAAAGGTTAGGAACCACTGCTCAAGTGAGATGTGACAGCTTCTGATAAGGGTGAAGGGATACATGTCATTATGTCATGACATGGGCTGACAGATCCTGTGTTTTTCAGTGGAAAATTCAACATAAAATTGTTTTTTCAGTGGCATCCCATATCTCCCATATTGTGTGCATTTACCATCATACCAGTGTCTAGTTTGTCAGTTATAACAGGATGTTTATTATTTACTTAGCTTTGTGATAAGGTGATGTGATTACTTTATTTATTGCATGGTGTAATAACAGCGTTCCATTAAAGTGTAGTGCTATTGAAAAGCAAATATGATTTGTCATGAATGTCAGGTGAAGTGGACTATTGTAAGCAAGGAAAATCAAGATTTGTATGTGTATGCATGTCTGTATGTCCATCGCCTGGAAGAGGTATAAGTGAAATGTAGTCTCAGGATCTAGATGGCATCAATGTGAGGACCAGATAACTAAATGCAAAACATGTGCATTGTTAGGGCTTTCAATTTTTATTCTGGACCTACACTTTCCCTTCTGATTCATAGGTGCATATGTGACGGCTGCCATCTTGACAGACCCCAGAGATTGAAACGGGGACCTCCAGAACTGAAAGCGTGAGTCTCTACAGCTTGCGCTAAAGAGCCAGGCTCTGAAATAGGCTGTAAAAGACTCCCTTGTACTCTGTGGATCAGCCAGAGAAAGGGATAGTTGTTATTGACAGATAAATATATCTATACCTATCAGTTTTTTCACTACTTTTTGAACATCAGAAATATTCTGCAGTGCTCTCTTTCTCTAACAAACTATAAACTTCATTCCTGGCCTTCAGATAATAACTTCTTAATGTTTAATTGTTGCAGTGATAGTCCAAGGCATGCTGCTTCCTGGGGCCCAGTAGTAAAGACCTTTCCATCCCCAAGTCAAAGTACGTAGTACAATGATGGGCAACCTTTTGAGCTTTGTGTGTCAATACTCACCAAAAAACTGAGCATAACTCTAGTGGGGTGTCACTTCAAGAAAAAACCCATAATTTCATGATACTTATAGTTTAATAACAAAAATATATTATTGTAATATATAACTGTATTTAATAAACCAAAAACTAATTATTTAACTTACCTACTTTTTCTATAATGCCATATATCTCAGCATTATAGAAAAATGCTGGTGTAGGAGCCGAGGATGAAATGTCCTCCTTGGGATGCAGCCCCATCTTCTCTGTATGCGGCCGCATGTGGCTGTGTGTCATCGAAAATGGCTACGCATGTCAGTGCTGACACACGTGTCATAGGTTCGCCATCATGGACTTAGTATCTAAAGCTGCCAAGTTATTTTGACTTCTGTACCAGAGAATCCCATTCAGCCCCTCTTTTGGAACAGGCAGGGAAATAAAATAATGGTTTTCAATCCCTCAAGGTATTTGAAAGAGAATTGCCTGGCTCATTCTGCCCGATGATCAGGCTGCCTGGATTGCTGGGGAAAATAAAAAATTGCCTTCACTTCTTTGTCTTCATGACTAATAAGGGATGCAAAAGATAATGCAAAGAAGAAACATGTCAAAGCTACTATGGACAGCCATAGCATTTGTAGACAAGGGTAGACAGGAATGCCTTCGGGTCATGCTACATAGGTGGCATAGTCAGATCATAATGTAATTAACCTTCTTGCCTGCTCTGTCACTCATGGGAAGGGATTTATTTTAACTCATGAATTCTCGCATGATAACTATGATGGGATGCCTCATCTTTATTTATTGTTTACAGATAGAACATTAACCCTGAGGTAGGGAGAAACTTTCCAAGATTACCCAATGAATCCAGAGATAACTAGTGGTGGCCAGTGGTCAAATCTGGGGGGGTACCACAGCCCAAAATAATGGGGAGGGCATTTCACCCTTCTTACACCACAAGTCACTAGTAGAGTTGGTGGGGATTTGAACTTAAGTGTCTTGAAACCCTAACCAGTGCTTTTTGGGTTTTTTTTTAAATCATGTTTTGGATAAATGATTCGTCTACCCACATTTTATCTTACTAGTATCAGATGCCCTTAAGAAGATTATTATCTATTTGGCTAGAACAAGTAAGGCAATTAAGGAAGAGAACCAGAATTAATGTGGTCATTTTAAAGAGGTACTGCAGAATTTGCAAATGCATCACATTGTGTTTGTCCCCATAGGCATTAGAATGTGCTGTCAGTATATTAGGGAAATCCAAGTTACAAAGCCAGTAAGTGGCTTAGATAGGAACTACACATTATATGCAGTCAAGTTACCCTTTTCAGATCCCTAGTCCTGTAAGACTATTTGTAGGAGAATTGTATATGGAGGTAGGAATGCTTTTTTCTTCTCTCTAACCTCCTATCCAGTAGCCTCCCCTTCTTCGCCACCTCCCCACAACATTCTAGACATGTGAGACAAACACAGACCTGAAATCTAGCTCAAGGAAGTTGCAAGAGGGACAGCATTTGGAAGAGGAAGGGTTAAACACTCTTCCTGCTTCTTGGTGCTTCTACCCTAGTATTGAATCAGAAGGTAGGAGTTGGAAAGGTCAACTGACTGTTGACTGTGATTCCCATGAAAGAGAGAAAGTAATGTCTCAGCTGCATCCAAGCAAATGTTTTGTTCATGATCTTCTAGTTTCATTGTTTTGATTTCTACATGCTTTCTGTTCTGTTGATGGAAGAAACGTTCTTCCGTGTTTTCATAGCATCACAATGTTCTTTAAAACTGGCACCCTGGTTCTCAGCTCATTTATTCAAGTAGCATGTTTCAACATTGACAATAGACTCTGTTCCCATATTGTATGCTGAGGACTTAAAGCCCAGGAACATAGTCTTCTCGAGACATAGCTCTGTCTGGGAGTGAGGGATTGTTAAGAATACATAGATAAAAGTATTATTTTCAGACTTCTGTATTTGCAGCAGTTCCATCATATCTAGACCAAATTATATGTCCAGAAATGTATTCAAAAGGGTTGTTTTCAGCCTTTTGAGATTACCATGAGCCCTATTTGGGACCCTCTATTACGCTTTCTCCTTCATCTCACTTCTGAATCCCCCTTTTTGAAAAAACTCCTAAGCAAGAACAAATAAAATACTGCTGTGTCAATTGATGGAAGCCAATGCACAATATTGTGAATATTAATCCCCCAGATGAAAACCAATGCATTTATTATTATCTAAGTTAGTAGATTATCCATGGAAGCATCCTTCATTATATCCCTTTGCATTCTTGAATATTGATTAAACCTATTTTAAGATGAATAGTTTAGCAGAAGTTTGTTTATATCCCTGCTGCAACCCACCTCCCTTCAGTAATGCAAAATACTCAATGGTAAGGGATGGCCTTAACATATTTTTTAATAATGTCTCAAAGTTAAGAGGTTTTTTTACGAAGTCAATTTATTTTTGCCATTTTCATTGTTGCTTATGTCCTTGTTCATCATTCATTTTCAACAGGTAATCATAACATCGGTTTCAATAGCAAACTGTTGTCATGATAGCTACAAACAATGGGGGCATCATGGCAAACTTTTAAATGCCATTCCCAAGCTTTGGAATAAGCTCTATGTTTAAAACACATTTCTATTATGTGCTCAGCATTAGTCTATGAAATGATCCAGCATTAGAAATAATAGCAACAAAAGCCAGGTGTTTCAAGAAAAATATATTGACTTTGCTCCAACACCAAATTTTCCAATTTTGTATGTATTCATTGCATTTGTATCTGTCCTCAGATTGGAGTCATAAACACTAGTATTCTTTTAAAAAAGCATTTTTTAAATTCCTGTATTAATGGCTTGCACCTCTTCGTATAATTTTAAAATATTTTGTATATGTGATTGTCAAGTAATGCAGAGTAGATACACATGATAGAAAATTGTCTGTAGCTGATTCAGTCTCAAGAGGGAATGATTTACAAAGTGGTTGTGGGCATGATCTATTCACACTGCAAGTGCAGCACCTGTACATGGAGAATTCCAACACAACTAAGCAGAGTTCTCTTTCTTCCCTATTCCCTATATGTACCTGGCTGTGTGATAGGGTATTAAGGCAATGGGAGGCATCTGCTCCTCTTTTTGTTTAATGCAAGAGAGGGATACAAAAGACACACAGAGATCTCTTTTTGTCTTTAATATCCATTTAGACTGATTGTATTCAGGTCCTTCATAGGCAGGGGGAGAGTAGAGAAGGATTTCCTTGAGTCCTGTTGGATATTTCCATAGATATAATATGGACTGATTATGACCATTGGTTGTGGAAATTTCTGTCACATTTTTGCCCACCAAAGATATGTCTTTTGGATATGTATTTCTTTAGCCCTGTCTCAATGCAAATGACTCTATGAAAGAAAGCTACAAAGTGGAAGGAAGCACTAGATATTATATATTCAATATAATTTATGGGAGCAGGTGATTCTGACTAACATATCTCATAAATGTGCAATTTTAATATATTAGAGTCATTATTTATTATTATTATTATTATTATTATTATTAATTATCACATTATTCACCGATACATCACACAGTCCTAGACATGTGATCCAATACAAGAGCCAGCTGAGTGTCTGCAATGGACTCATCTTGTTGTGTTTCAAATAATAATAATAATAATAATAATAATAATAATAATAATAATAATTATAGAGTTTATATGGCGTTTTGGAATATTTAAAGTGCTTTTCAGATATTGTTTTACAGTATACTCATAACAATCCCTATAAGTCGGTGTTGTTATCCATGGATTGGTGACGGGCTTGGATAGTGTCTGAGTTGAGAACCCTGCTGAAGGTCACCTAATAATCTGATTCAAACCAGGGCTTCATGGGTTGTTGTAGGTTTTTTCGGGCTATATGGCCATGGTCTAGAGCAGGGGTCCTCAAACTAAGGCCCCGGAAGCCAGATACGGCCCTCCAAGGTCATTTACCTGGCCCTCGCTCAGGGTCACCCTAAGTCTGAAATGACTTGAAAGCACACAACAACAACAACAACAACAACAACAACAATCGTATCTCATCAGCCAAAAGCAGGCCCACATTTCCCATTGAAATATTAATAAGTTTATATTTGTTAAAATTGTTCTTCATTTTAATTATTGGATTGTTTTTAAGTGTTTTTTGCACTACTAATAAGGTATGTGCAGTGTGCATAGGAATTCATTCATGTTTATTTTTGTTTTCAAATTATAATCCGGCCCTCCAACAGTTTGAGGGACTGTGACCTGTCCCTCTGTTTAAAAAGTTTGAGGACCCCTGGTCTAGAGGCATTCTCTCCTCTAGACCATGGCCATATAGCCCGAAAAAACCTACAACAACCCAGTGATTCCAGCCATGAAAGCCTTCGACAATACACAGGACTTCATGGTCCATAGCTGCTTTAACTATCACCTTACAATAGCTGTCATACAGAACACTATATAGAGAGAACTGATTCTTCTAGAAACCTGATTGTTTAACAGTGTTAATGGTGTGCTGCTTATGCAATGTGTAATAGAATGCCCTCTGAATTCTAATTTTGATTCACTGAGTAATTGCTGTTCCCTTAAAGGATTGCTGTGAGTCAGTGCAAGTAGAAAGGTCTGGAGTCTAAACCTCCTTGAATTGAGACAGGAGAGTTGAAGCCACGATGGCTCAAGAGCTTAAAAATAAATGACATTGGCAGAGCGAACGTATCCAAGCATCAACTTTGCTCCCTGAGTTGCATCAGTTGCTAGAAATCCACTTCCAAGAATTTATTGCCTTTTGCCACTTCTGGAGGTTGCAAAAGTGAAACTCTTCATGCTTCGACTATTTTCATTGCCATTCACTTCCATAATCATTGTCATATGCATTTGTGCTTCACTGTCAAATGTATTTCTTTCTTTCGCTGATGCAAAAGCAATTGCTCTCCTTGCAACTAAACAGAAACGATTAAGTTTTGTAAATGTTATCAGTGTCAGGCAGTTCAGCAAGCTAGTGGGTTGGTTGGAGGGAATGAACTCACTCAAAAATTGTAAGATTGCTCTTCCTACCCAGCCCCAGCATTCATCTGAATGATAAAGTATGATGTGATCTTCATGTATGTGTCTTTTCCCCACCCTCTTTTTTGTTGCAGTGATGGGTCTTTCTCTTATGATTCTGTTCCTTGGCAGCAAAACACCAATCAGCCCCCAGGCTCCTTATCAGTGGTCACTACAGTATGGGGTGTGACTAATACTTCCCAGAGCCAGGTAAGCTTCATTCTTTGGGTCCTTTTCTTGACAACAAGTTAAACATGACAACAATGTGATGTGGCGGCAAAAAAAGCCAATTGGATTTTGGCCTGCATCAATAGGAATATAGTGTCTAGATCCAGGGAAGCCATGCTACCCCTCTATTCTGCCTTGGTTTGACCAATGGCTTCAAACTACAAGAAAGGAGAGTCCATCTGAACATTAGGAAGAACTTCCTGACTGTGAAAGCTATTCAGCAGTGGAACTCTCTTCCCGGAGTGTGGTAGAGACTCCTTCTTTGGAAGCTTTTAAACAGAGGATGGATGGTGCTTTGAATGCAATTTTCCTGCTTCTAGGCAGGGGGTTGGACTGAATGGCCCATGAGGTCTCTTCCAACTCCATGATTCTATCATTCTATAGCATGTTTTATTTCCAAATTAGATTAGACAGAACTACCACATTGCCTGCTACAAATAAAAAAGGCCAGAAAACAATCTTTGGGGTTTCAAAGTTGGCTCAGGGTAAGAACAGTAGATATGTGGCAGTAGAAGAAGAAGAATTTTATTTTTCTACCCCGCCTCCATCTCCCCAAGGGGACTCGGGGCGGCTTACATGGGGCCAAGCCCAGGCAACATACAATTAAAAGCAAAACAACAGCAAATTACAAATTAAAAAGACACAAAACAGCATAACAGTAATAAACAAGCATCAAGCAACAGCAACCCAAATTTTGGAGTGGGGGGGCGAGACTGCACAGCAGATGGATGGCCAGTGAGCTGCAACTGGCAAGTTTCAAGTGGACCATCTAGAACAGGCCTGCACAACCTATGGCCCTCCATCTGTTTTGGCCTCCAAATCCCAGAAGCCCTAGCCCGCTTGTCCAATGGCTAGGAATTCTGGGATTTGGAAACCAAAATGGCTGGAGGGCAGTAGGTTGTGCAGACCTGATCTAGAACCTGCTCAAACTTTGATGTTTCTTCATCAAATTCCACAAGGCATTTCTTACACTCTGAATCAAGAGTCCTTTCTCCATAGCTTGTAGATGACCTAACTCTTAAGAAAAGCATGTCATTTTATTTGTAAACGTAAAATATATTAGTGGAGCAGCAAAGACTGTATTTAGCATACCCGTATTCTATGAACTACTATAGAAAACATACAAGTATCCCACATTCTAAGATGGGATCAGGAAAGTATAGCTCTGAGGCTGCATGCAGCTAGTTCCATGCTTTTTGTACACTTTATTTATTTATTTATTTATTTACCATATTTATATACCCCCTCTCTCAGCCCGAAGGTGACTCGAGGCAGTTTACAATCGGAAATCAATGATACCAACAACATAAAATATAATTTAAAACATTAACATATAATATAGACCATATAAAAGTAGTAATTCCAAGCTCAGCAATGAGTCCAGGATCACACCCAAGCTCCAAACCTGCATCTTCAGGGGGAGTGTAACCCCGTCCAACACAGGCTGTAACCCTATGCCCTATTCGGCCTTTCGACTGACCAGGAGTATCTCTGTCTTGTCTGGATTCAGTTTCAATTAGTTCACCCTCATCCAGTCCGACACAACCAAGCACCGGTTCAGGACCTGAACAACCTCCTTAGTAGCAGGTGGGAAGGAGTGACAGAGTTGGACGTCATCTGCATACAGGTGACACTGCACCCTGAAACTCTGGATGACCATGGCCAGTGGCTTCATGTAGATATTAAACCACGTGGGAGACAGTATTGAGCCCCGAGGAACCCCATAAGACAAGGTTGTGGTGTTGAACAGGTGTCTCCCAATAACACCTTCTGGGAGTGACTCTCTAGGAAGGACCGGAGCCACTGCAGAACAATACCTCCAAGGCCCATTCCCATGAGGCGTCCCAGAAGGATACCGTGGTCAACGGTATCAAAGGCCGCTGAGAGGTCCAGCAGAACCAACAGGAACACACTCCCCTGGACTATCATTTTTAACTTCTCTAGATTCCCCGGACTATCATTTTTCTGGATAAAAAAAGGTGAATTTCCTATCCAGTCTCCAGGAATGACTGTTCACCTTTTAAATCTATTGTAGCCTCTCCCCCCCCCTCCTCAGTCCCATAAATATATTTTAAAAGGCCAGAAACTCCGGCCACTTCCCATTGTTTTCTTTTTGTTTGCATTTTTGGCAGTTTATGCAGCCCCTGGAGGCTCCCAGAGCCAGAAAATTGGCTTTCCAGACTGACTGTGTTTGCCCACCCCTGTTCTCAGACTGTTGAGTAGGCACATGCTTGAGATAGAAGAGTGGACTACAAAGATTATTAACATATAGATCTGCCTTATACAGACATAGATATCCATCTTGTCCAGTATTATACACTCTATCAGCAATATGTACATGTGTACACATATCACACACACACGTACCTCCTTAAGATGCTTGACTTGGATTTTCTGATGGATTGAGCTTTTTGGCCTCTGCAGACAAAACATGTGACCTTCCACAAATGTGTGGATCCTGTAATGGAATGAGTGTTAAACTGTCAACTTCCTTCGACCACTCAAAATTCTTTTCTGTGCTTCACAATTCCATTTGCCTCTATTATGACCTCACCTGCAGCAGAGATGTCTGGTAGAAATATATGGTTACTGTCTACATTGTTCTGGATATACGGCAAGGCAGTTAGATAGCAACACCCCACCCTTGCATACCTTTCTTAAGTTGTCAAGTATCCCCCATAATTCTTTCTCCTGCTCTCTCTCCACTCTCGATAATAAAGTGAACAATTTCTTGAAGCCATGGTTGTATCAAAAGAATTTACTTTTTTTTTCTCCCTTTCTGCTCCCCAGGTCCTGGGAAATCCCATGGCTAATGCTAACAATCCTATGAACCCAGCAGGAAATCCCATGGCTTCTGGGATGACAACTAGTAATCCTGGAATGAATTCACCTCAGTTTGCTGGGCAACAGCAGCAGTTCTCGGCCAAGGCCGGCTCCAATCAGCCATACATACAGCAAGGCATGTACGGACGGCCCAACTATCCAGGGAGCGGAGGCTTTGGGGGAAGGTGAGTCTAATACATGTGGAACAATAGCTCCCCTTCTCATCTTGTTGCTGAGTTGGATGCATTTAATCAATGAGTTTAAACAATAGTGACTTAAAAGGCAAGATGTTGTCCAAGATTATATTTGAACTGCACTCCATTCTGAGAAGTGTATGGCACACAATCTCTTCCTGGCAATACATATAAGTGAGAACTATCCTGATGGATCCAGATCAAGACTTTGCCTAGCATTCTTTCTCCAATAGTGGTCAATCTGACCCTTTTGGGAAAGGAATAATAAGAAAATACAACAACAACAACAACTATTTTTATTGATTAGTCAGTTGGCCTTATCAAAAACAGACAGTGCAAACACAACATACAACATACATCTAGTCCTCTTAAAATAAAATACAAATATACAGGTATTTGTACGCTTTAAACATACAAATATACAGGTATTTGTATGCTTTAAATATAATTTCCAGCGGGCGCTGTACCTAAAAGCTGATATGTGAAGACACCTAAGAATCGCTTTTACCAGGGCAAGATTTGAACAAATTGAGTCCATGGAGAGACACGGCAGATTCAATCATATCCCACATGAAGAAAGACTATGTATCTGTGTTGCCCCCGAAGTCGAAAATCTGAACCACACTTTACATCACTGCAATCTATATGAAAAAGAAAGGAAACAATACTTATGGCCTTTTATTTGCAACAAAACAAACTGGGATACAGCGACTAAAACCTCATTTTTGTTGACTGGTTACAACCCCATTCTGACAACAAAAGTTGCCCTTTATTTGTTTAAAGCTGCCAAAATGAGATCAGAGTACACAGATCAGATTGGGGTGCTGTGTAGGGGAGACGAGGATAGTTGATGCATATATCTACAGCTAAGCTACATTGGTTTCAAGCTGTTAAATAAGAAAATACAATGATACAGGTGTTCTCTTATGAGTTGCCTCTAGCATCCAGAGGTGGCAAACTAATTTTCCTCAAGGGCCAGATCAGCCTTTTGGCTGCCTTGAAAGGGCCTCTGAATCCACACCAACCGTAATTTATTTACATGTGATCATTTCTCTTTAGTTTTAACCCAGTTTTGGTCCCCAGGCAGGGGCGGCTCAACCATTGCGCAAAGTAAGCATTCGCAGTATAGTTGATTTTGCCCAGGGGCACTCTTGAGGCTCTCTTGGGGGAAAATAGACCTTGACATATGCGAGTTGTAGTTACTGGGATGTATAGTTCACCTAAAATCAAAGAGCATTCTAAACTCCACCAATGATGGAATTGAACCAAATAGGGCACACAGAACTCCCATGATAAACAGAAAATATATATCAATGATTGGCTGGGGGGGGGGCACCAAAATACTGTTTGCTTACCGTTGAAAATTACCTAGGGCCACCTCTGTCCCCAGGTGTTAGTGAAAGACAACTCCCATCACTTTTGATGATCTCCCATGTGGACAGGGGATAATGGGAATTGGAACTCAACAGCACTTGTGGCTTTGAGGTTGGGGAAAATTCAAAGAACATTTTCAAGCCAGACATGTCCACAAGCCTAAATTCAAACTCCACTCTCCTGACTAAACAGAACAAACTGCAGCTTTCCAGATGTGACTGTCACAACTCCCATCAGCTCTAGTCATGATAACGAATACAGGAGTTGCAGACCAGCATCTGGAGGGCCACATAAAATGACATGGAAGGCTGGATTCACCCCATGGGCCTTGGTTTTGACACACGTGTTCCAGAGCTTAGTGGTACGAATTCATCTCAGCTTGCTGTGCAGTAGCTGTAGTTTTCGGTCAAGACAGCTACTGCTTCTGTAACTGAAGGTTTCATTTGGCTGTCACAGCTAATAGCCAAGCCAGTGATAGAGCTCTTCTCCATCAATCTGTCTGATCCATTTTGGTTTTTCTTTTAAAATCATTTTATAATGCAATTATATAACATTAATAGAACAGACAGTGAAAGCACAGTTCATCCAAATTGCAAAATGTTACATCATAAGCTAATTGGGTTTGTGAAGAGTTTGTTCAAAGAGGAGAATCATTTGCTGCATTTTGAAGATGTTTTTCCCAGACATTTGTGATGGCAGTTCTCCAATTTTGTTATTGTTCGGTGAGGGGAAGCCACTTTCAGTAAAAATTCATTTCGGCTCCAGACCTTTAGTGCTGTTAAATAATGTGGGGGCAAAAAATTCATGGACACTTTGTCCCTCACTCATTTTGTCTAATTCTATAATTCTTCGCTGTGTTTTGTATAATGGATTCCATTTTCAATAATATATAAAGTATGTGTTCTGCTGGTTGGCCAGTTCAGGTAAAGATTTAACCCTGGGATGAAATTGGGTTTGAGCAATGCCATGAAATGTTTTTCATGCTCTCAATCTCTCAGCATAAGGAGACATAGACCAATCTGGAGAAATGTCATATTAATGTCAATATTAGATCTTAAGAAATATACCCACTTTGTAGCAGTTTCTATCTTGTGAGGTCAAGGAGAACCTCTGAGTATATGTGTGTACATATAATTTCTGTCTGGATCCTGGTTTTTTCATACCTTGCCTCTCCCATTGTAGATATCTTGTAATGCTTTTACTCTTCGAACTGATTAGATCTGTCTCCTGTCATAATCCCTTTGGGATAAGGGAGCAAGTGTACAATTGTGACCTTGACTTTCAGAGTGTTCACAACAAAAAGAACATTAGAAACAAGTTGATGACAGATATGAGGGAACGTTACGGTTTTCTACTGTACCATTTGGAGAATTTGTGTATTTGAAGTACTGGAAAATTATTCCCTCCATATAGATTTCATACTATTTATGAAAATAGCCGCACTAAGCAACCAGTGAGGTTAAACTACATACTTACTTGTGGAGGAGCTTAGGCAGACTTAAAGGGAAAGTAATCACAGTAGCAGAAAAAGATTTGCAAATGGCTTAAGCCAATCAATTAAGTCTAGCAAACACCTAAAATAAAGTTTTAATTAACAGTGAAATTGTGATATAAACCACAGGCTTAGGAATGATTAACATTTTGTTAAGTTAGTATGTAAAGCAGGTCTGCATAACCTATGGGCCTCCAGATGTTTGAGTCTCCCAACTTCCAGAAGCCCTTGCCAACTGGTCCAATTGTCAGGAATTCTGGGATCTGAAGTCCAAAACACATGGAAGGCTGGAGGTTGTGCAGGCCTGATGTAAAGGATATTGATAATTACCAAAGGAACCACATTGTTTGAGAATACAGTCTGGATGTTATTAAACTGAGCACCTACAACAAGAGTGGACAATTCATGGGCAGCAAGGGCCATACTTCCAAAACAACTCACAAAGTCATTCCTACTCTGAACATAACTTCCAACCATTTGCAGTTATAGTAAAAGAAGATTTGAGTTTTCTGAGGTAGCAGAGATCAAGGGGACCCAAAATAATGTGTTCGTGTGGTGGTTTGGATGTGGGTTTCTTGACAATTTGATTTCTATTCAAAAGGGGGAAATGTGGGGTGTCTTCTGCTGCTTTAGGGGCTACATATAGCTTTGGGGATGGTGTTTCCGATCTCCGAACTACAACCCAATGGCTTACACAGGCTGTAAGGGGATTTATATCAACACCAAGAGATTAAATAAATCCACAACTGAAATGAACCAGACAAACTTAGACCAGCATGTTTATATTTGTAATTATAGTTATGATTATAATTCAAACACTTGGCTTTCTTTATTTTTTTGCCAAATATTTCCTAGTACCTTCCTCTTTCACAGGAGCCCCACAAAAAGTGGAAACACTGCAAATTTTAAAAATCTGCTATTTTCTTTTACCTGAAAAAACATCTCTCTCGGAATTCCTAGATCCTCCAAGTTTAACAGAATTGTGCCAGAAAATCAACAAATGCTTATAGAACTGTCCTCTAGGAATATTTAGATTCTCCAGGGTGGAATTTAACCACAAAGTAGAGCTGGATGACCTAGAGATGCCATATTAATGAAATCTGCAGATAATCACATCCACAAAAGTTAAATCTGCAAATGTGCAGGGCCAACAATATGTGGAAATTATTTGGTTGATCTGTATCTTTTCTGCTCTAGCACCCCATCAAGGATGTGTGGTGTCCTGCAGATGTATGATATCTCCATTGCTATAGCTATGCCTAGTAAGGCCTAGGTTGCCCATTGACATTTTGCCATTCCGTCTCCTCTCCACTGAGTGGAATGGAGATTCCATGTTTTTGAGGAGCTTTCTGAGCAGCAAATTGTTTACCAGATTTTCAAGACCCTTCATGCATTTATAAAATGAAAGCATGTGACCACACAAGGATTCTTGGAGCAGGTGGTCCTCAAGAAAGAGATGTGGAGAATTGAAGTGATAAAACTGCAAAATAAATCAATAAAACTGGGAAATTACTTATGTAGAGAAGAAACAGTATCTCAGAGTACATTCACGGTTGTACCAGAGTTACGACTATTCCCTGAATTCATGTGAAGCTATCATTATTACATGCCAGTACAAGTATATAACCTCTTGCTTTCATGGAATAGCATTCGTTTGTGGCACAAAGGCAAGCTCAAAAGATTGATGGCCTTTAATTTCATATTCCTCCCTTAGCTACCCTGGAGGCCCCAATAACCCTGCTGGGATGGGTATCCCACCCCATACCAGGCCGCCTGCTGATTTCACTCAACCAGCTGCTGCCGCCGCTGCTGCTGCAGTTGCAGCAGCTGCTGCCACAGCCACAGCCACAGCCACAGCAACTGTTGCAGCCCTCCAGGAAACACAGAACAAGGATATGAATCAGTATGGACCGGTAAGAGAATACCATCGCATCTACTTTTTTGTTTTGTTATTTTTTTTAATAGAAGTTATGTCTACAGTTTAAAAAGCCAAGCTCAATTTTGGAAGACTACTACTTAAACAAGAAGTAAATAGATGCAAAATCCCCTTTTTATTATAATTTTAAATTGAGAAAACATTTGCAGAAATATTGCTGTTTTCCAATGTTGGAGATGCTTTGTTTCAAAAACCAACATCTTGAAGGTCTCCTGCTGCTTTATAACATTCGTAAATAAGCAGGCAGATGTAATATTTGTAGGAGCTGGAATAATGAAAAGGAATAGAATGATATGAGATCATCATAGATCAGATTTTGAAATCACCACAATCACTGTGGATAATTTGAAGTCTCTTGTATTCACTCTACTTATAATGTGAATTCTTCAGATTCTGCTTCCTTCTTTTTATAGATCTGTAGTCTGTTCTCCATTTCTTGTCAGAGTGGACAAGGAAGGTGCAGCATACCCACATTATTCTTTGATAATGTTATTCTTTCCTGCTGTGAGTTTTTTTCCTAATGATTATTTACAGTTCGGGACATATTAACTCGCATTTGGGTTAGCTACAAAGAAAGAGTATTTTCTGCTCAGAATAAAGACCTGTATAAAACACAGAAAATGTTTTATCTTTGGACTTATTCTATTACAATTTTTCTCTTTTTTATTTTTGTACATGAGACAGCCTTTTCTGCATATAAAATATTTCTGTGCAAAAATGGTTTTTCTACATAGAATTTTTTTCTGCTCAAAAAATCCAAATTAGTACACAATAGCATCCCTCACTATAAAGATTGCCATGTGACCGTTTACTTCTCATTGGTGTTTCTCCTATGATCTAGCACCCCATCAAGGATGTGTGGTGTCCTGCAGATGTATGATATCTCCATTGCTATAGCTATGCCTAGTAAGGCCTAGGTTGCCCATTGACATTTTGCCATTCCRTTAGAATCTGTTAGAGTGCTGGAAATATGCCCGGCATCTTTGGTAAAGAGTCTGGGAGTCCTTTTAGACCCTCTGCTGACGATGGAGGCCCAGGCGTCCGCTGTGAGCAGAGTTGCATTTTTCCATCTGTGTCAGRCTAGGCATCTGACTCCCTATCTGTCCAGGGACGACCTGRCCATGGTGATCCAGGCTACRGTCATCTCAAGGTTGGACTACTATAACGCCCTCTACTTAGGCCTGCCTTTGTCGGTGATCCGGAAACTTAAACGAGAGCAAAATGCTGCTGCCCGGCTTCCCACAGGGGTCCCAGTGAGGTGTCATATCACTTGCAGCAACTGCACTGGTTGCCGATTGAGCACCGGATTACCTTCAAAGTGCTGATTCTTACCTTTAAGGCCTTATATGGCCGGGGGTCGGAGTACCTGAGGGACCGCCTCACCCCCTAYCAACCCCTGAGATTATTCCATTCAGACAATCAGAATCTCCTTGAAGTTCCCAATTTTAGGACCTTTCACCTGATGTCTACTAGGCGTAGAGCAATCACGGTGGTGGCTCYTTACCTGTGGAATGCCKTGCCAGCRGAAACACGAGCTCTCCGAGACTATCTTTTCGTAGAGCTTGTAAAACTTATTTATTTAGGCTGGCATTTGAATCTTGCTGATTGAAAWTTTTCTTTTATTTTAAATGTMATGTATCGCATATGTATATTGTAAACCGCTCCGAGCCTTCGGGGAGTGGYGGTATATAAAATTGATTAATAAATAAAAATAAAAATATAAATTTTGTGCATAAAGTAAGAATGAGAAAAGTATTGATGGGCAGCTCCAAGTTTCTGCTCTTTATAATTCTGCTTTCACAGGCTTGGAGATGTATCTCATCCTATCAGAGAGTCCCACACCTTTGCATTAGAGATCTTTATTCTAAAGTAGGATCAAGTCAGCTATAAGAGAAACCGTGGCATTTTATTCTTTCTTATAGATCCAGACACATGGATAAATAAAAGTGTTGTCTGGCCTTTCAAATTATGAGCATCTGCAATGTGCCACTAGAGGGTGATGCAGTCCTCATCAATGAAGCCAAGACTATTTTGTGTGTGTAATTCTTCATAGGAATTTAAATGCCTTTGATACTGAACATTGGCTCTAGATGTAAAGTAATCTTAAACAGCTTACAAAATGAAAGAGTCTCCTCTTTTCCCCTATCCTGTATAGCTCTGTACACTTGCTGAAAACCTTTCCAGGTTCTCAAGAAATACTCCCCAAACACAAGCAAATGAAATGACTTAAAGGGCAGGTTTGCTATGTGAAGGCAAGAGTATGTATGTTATGGCTACAGTTAGAAGACAAACATGACTGTCTCCCAATCAGTTGTGAAGGTGAAGGTTTCCATGAGTGTAAAATAATCTTATCTTTAATTGCTTGATGGCTTCATCAAGCAATTTATTAGTTTATTAGTCTGTCTTCATTGTTCTCTAGTACTTCCTTGGGTTTGCTCATGTTTCCGAAAATGGATTTTATGGCAAAGTGGGAGGTATATTCTTGGACAGGAGATAAAGGAAGTGGCAGGAAGGCTAATTGAGGACAGCTCAGCCATTAATGATAACTGCCTGGGCTAAGCTCCTACTAGGGGTGCATGAAATGACACAGAATTCATTCTGTTTTGTTTTGTTTTCATTTTGAATTTTGGGTGCCCCCACCTTCTGTTTTTGAGAATAATTTTCCAGAAATGGAAACGAAACTCAGGCTTCCAAATTATGAATCCAGACACCACCACCTCCCAATATCCTGGAAACTTCCCAAACATGGAATGGGGGAGGGGAACCCAAAATTCCAAATGAAAATACAACAAAACAGAATGAATTTACACATCCCTAGGTCGTACTTTTGCATAAAAGTACTCTGAATTTTGTTCTTGAGATCACTGGAGTTCAGTATATACTTTGCTGTGCATAAACTCTTGACGTTATCATGATTCCTTTGCACTCACCACAGATTAGAAAACGCACATTTCCATATATACTTTTTTTTTGAGAAATCCATCCATCCCAGTTATTTCTCACCATCTTCTATCTTGTTCTGTGGTATTTCAAAATGAGCTTATTTCTAATATAATCAATAGACCACTAAGTTTGTTCTTGGAGTCACAGGAAAACTATGAGTTGGTTCTAGAACTCTCATCACTTTCAGAATATTTTCAGCATTACCTGGTTTTTTTTCAGTTGCTCTTAGAATGCCAGTTAAATATTATCACAAACAAAATGAAAAGGAGAAATGGAGGAAATGGACAAATTTCTTATTTGAAAATGCGACATATCTCTGACTCCCATCAAGTTGGCTCCCCTTCCCATTTTAAAATGCATGTCGCATTTTATTCTTTTTTTTTCTTCTGTTGAAGGTTTGTTCCTCTTTCCAGATGGGTCCGACTCAAGCTTACAACAACCAGTTCATGAACCAGCCTGGCCCTCGTGGCCCTTCCTCCATGCCGGGCAGCATGAACCCTGCAACTATGGGAGCAGGCATGACACCATCCAACATGAGTGGGCCACCGATGGGCATGAACCAGACCAGACCGCCTGGAATGAGTCCTTTCAACCATGGCCAAAGGATGCCCCAGCAAGCCTACCCTGGCCCACGCCCCCAGTCTCTGCCCATGCAAAGCATGAAGAGACCATATCCCGGGGAGGTGAGTAATGTGAGAGGCTCTCCTGGTCTGTTGCATGCTGTACATGGTGTGTGTTTTGTAATGCAGATGATGACCAGTCTTCAGAAATCCCACTCATGATCTGTGAACCCTCTAATTCTTGAAAGATGTGTAAATACAAGAACTGTATACAGCTCTTCTGGTAGCCTTGTAGTGTCTGAAGAGCAGGATATTATAATGCTATTTTCAATGGCATTGAATGTTTAAAAGGCCTCAAGATATAACCTAGTCTTGGTGTGCAAAGCATACTTTTAAAAACCCTCTTAAAATACTTGGCCCCAAAGATGTTTCAACTTAGATTGAGCTCTAGTTTTTCATTTTCTGGCTTAATGATCAATAGCCAAATTCCTTAAACTGGTGAGGAATAGTTTATTATGGGATGTGTCATTCCAAATGTAACCATTTTTAAGTGACAAACTCCAATAAGAAAAAATTAAAGATGTTTTTCCCTTAGGGACAATTGGGATTTTGGCTGTATTGTGTCACATTTTGTAAATTTCATTGCCACCATACTGTTTCTATGCCATCCACTTTGACTTCTTGGGCCAGACCCAATGTAGGTGCTACAAGGCAACCTTTGGTTTATTTCATATCATAAGCAAAATTATTTACTAGTATTTATTGTTGTCAGATAATTAATTGACTTTTAAGCTTTGTATTACTGTACAATATTTGAAATTGTTGATATTTAAAATTATAAAATAATCTTAGAATTATATTTGAAGTCTATTTTATTACATTGGTAAATGAGTATTCAAATAAAAATTTAATTTTGTGTGTGTGTGTCTTTTACAAAATAGCCAAATTATGGAAACCAGCAGTATGGACCAAATAGCCAGTTTCCATCCCAGCCTGGTCAGTATCCAGCTCCCAATCCTCCAAGACCCCTTACGTCTCCCAACTACCCTGGACAAAGAATGCCAAACCAGCAAAACACAGGACAATATCCACCTCCAGCAGTCAACATGGGACAATATTACAAAGTGAGAACAATCCTTCATTTATCTCTATGCCTTATTTATTATCAGAATTTGTCTCCTCCATCCCCAAACCCTTAAAGTTTGGATATATTCAAATTTTAAATTCAAATTAGGTTGAAACTACTAAACTAGATCACTCTTCTCAGTGTTTATAAAATTTTGTTGACTTTCATAACTTATAAAATTTTGTTGACTTTCATAATTGTAGCTGAACTATGTGTATATCTCCCCACTTTCATTATAATACAGAAATACAGTTAATGCCATAAAATTGCAATTATATGGATTGTCATATTCTGCAATATTTGCAAAATACTAAGATCCTACAGTCACCATATGTCAAAATGCATATAACATACAGATGAAAGCCATTGCTCAACCCTTAGCTCAATCACATTGCCATTTGAATGGATGTAGCAAATGGTGTAAAATCTCCTTTGACTGATTCTATAATTCGACAAAAATCAGAATCCACTGCATGAAAACAATACCATATCTAAAGTTTAGGGGGGGGGGATTGCTTGTAAGAAGAAAGGCACATTACTTTTGGGTGATCAGTTGGGAGTGGTAGGCCACTTCTGATACAGTTTCCCACCATGGATTTAAATCATTTCTCCATGTCTGGCCACAAGAATTCCTAATAGACAGCAAAACCATGGAATATAAGAAAGAATGGCTGATAAAGTTTAGTCAGGCTCACAAGTTATATAGGCTCGTGTTATTGTTGAGTTATTGTTGGGTATATCATTTTTTCTAAGTCTTGTTCACATCACCCTGGCGTCTTCAGGTAGGACACTGCAATAATTTATTCTCTCTCTCTCTCTCTCTCTCTCTCTCTCTCCTTTGTTGGGTTGAAAACATTGTTTCACAGCCATCGAGGCCTGTTCCTGTGGCAAATTACCCTCATTCGCCTGTTCCAGGAAATCCCACCCCACCCATGACACCAGGGAGCAATATTCCTCCATACCTGTCCCCAAATCAGGATGTCAAACCTCCATTCCCTCCTGACATTAAACCAAATATCAGTGCTTTACCACCACCTCCAAGTAAGTAGCAAATGAAGCATCTATCTTTTGTAATACTGCTTTCTCCTGATGGATAGTTGTGTGCTATGGAAATAATCCTTTGTGAATATCATCCTACCTTTTAATGACATATTTAAAGGTCAATAAATATATAAAGTTACCAATATCTTTATGAAATGTATGTAGATTAGGAGAAAATAAAGAATCACTCTCATCCTAAACCTATATTAGAATGGAAAAGTTAGATAATGTCATGCGAGGTTTCAAATTTTACAGAATTCTTTATCAGGCCAATTGCAAGGACAAAATGGGAGGTCTTTAAAGAGAGGCAAAGATTGACCAACAGAAAAGTTGCAGATTTGCATTACGACATTTCTTAATAAAAGCAGCTAGAAGCAGCCTCACAAGGAAGACATATCCCCAGTTTATGGTATTTAGAAAGGGAGAATAGATGCTCTGCACTTCTAAGTGTTGCCATTATTTGGAATAGAGAGGATTTGGTTACTATTTAGGAAACTGTGAGGTGTAATCCATGTTCAATCACTCACCGCTCTTTATAGCAGAGTGCAGGGGAACACTTGAGGAACTCCTATAGGCTATTTCAATGCAGGATATCCCTCCAGCCTTGGGAACTCTCACATTCAAATAACCTTGGGATGTTGGTTGTTCATATTTGTTGCTGGGCATATTGTATAAACTTAGCCAGGCCAAATCTGCCTACGCTGGCTTCCCATAAGCTGGGTATTAAATCATAAGTGTGGCAGGAGGATGATGAGCAGCCTGATTTCATCCCATGGACAGGAGACGGTGGAAAGAGTAATGCCAGATTACTCCACAAGATCAGGCCATCAAAAGCCCAGTGAGCCATGTGGTGTTGTCCAGCATAAATATATGCATTGTTATCACGCTTCAGATGCTAAAGGGAAAGTTCACACTTTTTCTCCCTCTTCGATCCCAGCCAACCATAATGATGAACTGCGGCTGACATTTCCTGTGAGAGATGGAGTTGTATTAGAGCCCTTTCGGCTGGAGCACAACTTGGCGGTCAGCAACCACGTCTTTCACCTACGGCCCACCGTCCATCAGACGCTAATGTGGAGGTAGGCTCATGAAAGAACCTGGGGGTAACTCTTCAGGGTTGAGAAGAAAATGATGGACAGGATGCTCTTTTCTTGATTTTCTTGATTGACCATATTGAATTGTGGCTTGGAAAGTATGGCCAAAGGTTCAGAATCTAGACCAATTGATCAAATAATGGCCCTCTCATTTGGCTACCACTCTGTGTAATGAGAAGACAGATCACAGAGAAGATTGGTAGTGATTTCTCTTTAGCTCTTCACATGGAGTTAGTACACATGAACCATGAAATAACAAAATACTTAAACAGTCCTATTGTGGACAGTAATTTGGATTCAGAGCTCAATAATCTAAATAATAGGACTGTGAATGTCTCAGAGAAACTCTAACCTTTATGTGGCAGTCAGATTTGCTGTGTCTAGTTACACATACCATACTGTGTGATATACAGTAAACAAAAAGCATGGATGACAAGTATGGATCTATACACCATCCTGTAGATATCTTCTGAATAAATCCATTTGGCACTCATAGACACTTGTATAAAGATATAATCATTCCCGACTATCACTTAGGATAGCATTCTAGACAGCAGGCTGGGGGAAAACCTGTTTACTTTTCAAGGTGCCTGCTGTCCATATTTGCATGTTTGGGACAAGAAAACAGTAATGCATTGACTTGCTCTGGGGTGATGGCAAGTTGCACCATCAGTGTTGTAATTTAACACATCTGCCTGACTGGTTGTTTGTCAGCATATGCCATGCTATTCAAAGTCATCTACTCAATTGCTATGTCAATAAACTTGGCGTATAATCCCATGGAACCAAATGAAGACCACAGTTTTGGATCTAATTCACCAACTACCCTAAAACAAAACAAATAGAATTTTGTTTGTTTTATACTTTTTTTTTTTGCTGCGGAATACATTTATGAGAATCTCAGCAAGTTCAGGACTGATCAGCTAGCATTGGTATTTTCTGGAAGCTGCAATCTTTTGTTCATTTTGCATTGAATTTAGTGGGAACTAAATGTTAAGGAATGTAGGTGCTACAAGGCAACCTTTGGTTTATTTCATATCATAAGCAAAATTATTAGTATCATTCTAGGCAATGCAAGGTAAATGTTTTAGTCATGCACAAACCATTCTTAGGGTCGTATATCCTGTACTAGCAAAAAATGTACCTGTTGCTCATACTTAAGCTAATCTCCTCAAAAGTTTCTGGCAGTTGTGGTACTATACAGAACAGTGCAAGGATCAGAGTTTCTCCCCAAAAGAAAGAATGACAAAAAAGTGCTCAGGGGGGAATTAAATTAACCAGGTCTTATGAAAACAACAAATCATTTTTCAGCCCAGCTACCAACACTGGGAGTATTAATAGAATTCAGAATCATACTCAAACATATTCGTTTCAGGTGATCCTGTGAAGAGCTTTTTTAATGAGGACAAGGCACCAGATTTAATTACTTGCAGACCATAATAAGAAAACCCAGATTTTAGAGTGGCAATTAAGTGGGCACTCCTGCCAAGTTTAGATGAGAAAATGTAAATATGTGTTATCAGGTTGACACATTTCAAATGTTTCATTTTAGTCTATCTGCCAAAAAATCCTAGCAACTTCTAAAACACCTGTGGCAGGTAGTCAAATGCACAGCTCAATTCATACAGTGCAGCAAACCCAGAACTGCTGTAATTTTTGACTTACTGTGAACAAAGAAATTAAATTCTGTCCTGTGTTATTCTGTCCTGTTTGTCAGGTGAACAAGAAGGTGAAACATTACACCTAAACATAGCACTTCTTGAAGATCTGTTTCATGTAGTGGCTGTTAAGTTGGGTGAAATGAAGTGTGAGAATCTTTGTGAGCCAGAACTCTTAACCATTCAACCTCACTATGACATAGTAGACCTATTTCAGCATTAGAATGGTAGCTGTAAACCTGGTTGGAATTCCGAATCAGCCATTGTCAGAACAGGGGACACAATGACATGAAATGGAACCTAAATCTGATTTTGGAGGTGATGATGGCACCATAGCAGAACTAATCATATTATAATAATCCTAAAAGCACTTACAGCAGGCATGAGCCAACCCAGACCCCCTTGGGCCATATGCAACCCTTTGGGTTCTTCACCCAGGCCCCTGTCTGCTCCAGTTTCCCTTTCAGTATCCGGACACAGTGACCCACCACATTCCCAGGATGAGAGGAGGGCCAAGGCAGACACACACCTCTGCCAAGCGCTCTCTGGAGAGGACTCAGCAGTGGTGTTTCTGTGTTCCTCCTCTGGGCCTGGGAGAAAGCGAACCTCTATCTTCCCAGAGCCCATAGAAGAACTGGGGAGAGAAACATGCTATTGACAAGCATGCTTGATAGCGGCATGTTTCCCTCCCTCCTCTGGACCCAAAAAAGGCGGGCCACTGCTTTACCACGGCCCCAGAGAGCCGGGGAGACAAACATGCCATTGTCAAGTGACAGCGGTGTGTTTATCTCCCTGGAGACAGACCTGTCCCTTCCCTCTCCTGGCCTTGTGCCTTCTGGCCCACAACCCCATCTCTTCTGGTCCGACCCACACTCCCTTGCAGCTCAGCCCTTGCAGCCGGACCCACAAGAACATTTGCCCATGCCTGACTTACAGGTACAGTAGGAGAAAGCTATACAACCAAGATAAATTTGTGTAAATATTTTAAATCAATTTTGAATAGTTCATACATAATGCATGTCTTTTATAGCCCTATTAGCTAGCTAACAAAAGAACATTCAATGAATTACATTTTTCTTTATATATATATATATAAAAAAAACCAATCCATTGCCTTCTGTGAATGAGATCAATCATGGCAATAATATACCCATTTATTTAACAAACTGTTCACTAACCATTAAACAACCTACTAACGAAAATATAAGTTGCAGAAAATAAATCAATCTCAACATGTGTTGCAGTTTAAACCAATAAAATTTATCAAAACCTTTCCAACCAGTAATATTACAATAAGGCAGAAGAAGGCAGAGTTTGATTAATCTCAGCTATCAGAAAAACAGCATATACGCTCAGAATAATCCCATTGATCAACACTATGGGTTTATGGGAGTTCTAGTTTTACAAAATAATGTGAGCACCTCACCAGATTCCATTGTATTGAGCCATGGCAATTAATTAATTAGGGAAGGCTGAGCGAAGGAAGATAGATGATTTTGAGCTGTGGTGTTGGAGGAAAGTTCTGAGAGTGCCTTGGACTGCTAGAAGATCCAAACAGTCCATCCTCCAGGAAATAAAGCCTGATTGCTCATTGGAGGGAAGGATACTAGAGACAAAGTTGAAGCACTTTGGCCACATCATGAGGAGACAGCAAAGCCTAGAGAAGACAATTATGCTGGGGAAAGTGGAAGGTAAAAGGAAGAGGGGCCGACCAAGGGCAAGATGGATGGATGGCATCCTTGAAGTGACTGGACTGACCTTGAAGGAGCTGGGGGTGGTGACGGCCGACAGGGAGCTCTGGCGTGGGCTGGTCCATGAGGTCACGAAGAGTCGGAGACGACTGAACGAATGAACAACAACAAGGCAATTAAAGTGGTATAAATTAATTCAACTATGGAGATGCATCATACTCATCAGTCACCCATACAGTTAATACCAAATTCTGATCCTTCAGTTTTAGGTGCAGGCCACGCCCACGTGTCAGATATGACTTCGGGAGTACAGATTTAATAAATTTTAATACGACTTACAAGTCTACTGTTTACAACCTAGCAGTTTGAAAACATGCAAATGTGAATAGATCAATGTGTATTGCTTCGGTGGGAAGGTAACACCCCTCCACACAGTCATGCTGGCCACATGATTTTTGAGGAGTCTACGGACAACACCGGCTCTTCGGTTTAGAAATGGGGATGAGCACCACCCCCCCAGAGTCGGACACGACTAGACTTAATGTCAAGGGGAAACCTTTACCTTTCTGTTTACATAGGCCTAAAGTCATGGTTTGCTCCAAATTCTGGGGGAGAATTTTGAGCATCCTGGAAATTTGGTTGACATAGTCAAAGACTGTGTTAAGCAGCTTTGGCTACCCGTAACCCAGAACAGCTGCATGCGTCATTTAGCTGACACAGAGCTGATTCACTGGCCCTTGGTACTAAATTGTCAGTTTAGATGTGGGCAGAATCTACTTATGGATGGTATCCTTGAAGTGACTGGCTTGACTGTAAAGGAGCTGGGGTTGGTGACAGCCAACAGGGAGCTCTGGCATGGGCTGGTCCATGAGGTCACGAAGTGTCGGAAATGACTGAACAAATAAACAACAACAACAATCTGCTTTCATAATCTCGCCTTGACAAAGTCAGGCCTGTTTGTGGAACTGGGAGAAGCTCTTGGACAGATATTTTCATTTTCTTCTAGGACGCAAGTTGAACTTGTAGCAAGGAGCAAAAGCTATTTTTTCAAGTTCTTCTTGCTTTCACTCCATGATTGAGTCAAAATACTTTTTTTCCGGTGCAGAGAGAACTCTGCTTTATGTAGTATTCATACTTTGTTCGGCATCAACTGAAAATACTGTTCTACCTGAAAAGTAATAAGATGATGTTCCATTATCCTTTAGGTCATTCATAGCAGAGTAATAATCATAGAATCAAAGATTGGAAGAGACCTCATGGGCCATCCAGTCCAACCCCCTGCCAAGAAGCAGGAATATTGCATTCAAATCACCCCCGACAGATGGCCATCCAGCCTCTGTTTAAAAGCTTCCAAAGAAGGAGCCTCCACCACACTCCGGGGCAGAGAGTTCCACTGCTGAACGGCTCTCACAGTCAGGAAGTTCTTCCTCATGTTCAGATGGAATCTCCTTTCTTGTAGTTTGAAGCCATTGTTCCGTGTCCTAGTCTCTAGGGAAGCAGAAAACAAGCTTGCTCCCTCCTCCCTGTGGCTTCCTCTCACATATTTATACATGGCTATCATATCTCCTCTCAGCCTTCTCTTCTTCAGGCTAAACATGCCCAGCTCCTTAAGCTGCTCCTCATAGGGCTTGTTCTC